TCTCTCTGTGTGTATGTGTGTGTATCTCTCTATCTTTATATATCTCTATATTTTTTATTTTATATCTATCATATATATATTATATATATATATATATATATATATATATATATATATATATATATGTGTGTGTTATATGATTACAATATTTATTACAAAGTTAGCATGAAGCTTATGGAGTATTTGGATGTTTTTAAACATTTCGAAATCCCCTTCACTTCTGAGTAACGAATCCTGGTGTTTTTATTTCCTTGGATAAATAATTCTAATCAACAAACTTTCTGCCCTTTTAAACTTTAATACGCCTCCAATTTCAAGATTACCATCGTCATGGGTCTGTCGCGTCAGTTAACAACGTATCTCCTTGTGTCATGCCTACCGCGAGCAATCTTGAAATCTAATGATCTGTGATGTCTAGCCCTTTTTATGAGATGAAAACCACTTTGTGACGAGCTCCATTTACACTTAATTAAGCCACATTATTTTGGTATCTGTTCTCACCACTCGCGGTCATCATATGTTGCTTGACACTGTATGCTTTAGAAATAATATATGCTGTTGTTTTTTTTTTAATTATCATTTTCATTTAATAGATAGTAATGTTCAAATTAGCTCTACAATTTCACCGCGTCGGGGGTGTCATTTTACAAAACAAACAACAACAACACAAAAACTGTCCCCAAAGCTGTCGTGTTGGGATTTAAATGGAGTCGGATATTTTTACTACTAAGATTTTCAAGGTTTCGAATAGAGACCGACCGAATTTCGGCCTCGTTTTTGGCCATTTTATCACTTTCGGCCAAGTTTCGGCATTGGCCGAAACTGAAAGTACTGAAAGTTAACTTTTGGCTTAATTTCGGTGTCGGTTGAAAGAGAAAAGTTTACTTTCGGTTTTTTTTTCGATTTCGGCCAAAATTAGCTTAGACTTTCGGCCATCCGGTCAAAAGTGACTGAGGTTTTTGGTCATCTAATACTCAGCGAAAGCGATATTTAACAACAAACTAAGCGAAATTTAAGAACAAACTAAACGCTATTTAAGAAAAAATTAAGCGATCTTTAAGAACAAACTGAACGATCTTTAAAAACAAATAAAGTGATCTTTAAAAACAAATAAAGTGATCTTTAAAAACAAATAAAGTGATCTTTAAAAACAAATAAAGCGATCTTTAAGAACAAATCTAAAAACGATCTTAAAGAACAAACTAAGCGTTTTTTAAGAACGAACTAAATGATCAATATTAACAAAACAACTGATCTTTAAAAGTAAAGTAAATGATTTATACGAATAAAATAAGCGATCTTTAACAGAAAACTAAATGTTCTTTAGGAACCAACTAAAAGATCTTTAAGAACAAACTAATCGATCTTAAGGAACAAAATCAATTATCTAAAAGAACAAACTAAGTGATCTTAATGAAAAAAACTAAGC